AGCCATTCTTTCCCTGTGATTACAGCATCATTGCAGATGTTGTGGTCGAACTTTATGTGCTGAACATTCATCACATCAAATGGTATGATAAACATAAGGCTTTTTGTATTCTAGGACTTGTATACCCAGAGTCGTATCAGTATGACATACTATTTTTAGTTTTTTTATCTTTTGCCTGATTGCTTGTTTTCAGGCATTACCTCAATTTGGTCTTCATTCACCTGTCAGAGTTTGTGCTGACTGCTTTAATAATTCCTCCCGGTAAATTCTGTCATCTCACTCTAAACAATTTAAGGGATTTGTTGTACTTTTTACGTAATATACTCCTCAATCATGGTTGAGCTTGTTGTTTATCTAGCTCTTTTTTGGGTAATTGAAGGCTCTTTCATTCATTCCAATCTATGGAGGGTCAGATGGTAGTTGCTTCAAGAGACTTGAGTGTGGCATATTAAACTGAAAACCTACCTAAATTTAGCATTTTGCTCCCTGAAGGGGCAGGCTTGAAATGAGTGGTTTGTAAACCTGCATCTCTTTCACCCCTCAGATTACCAAATTCTGGTTTTAGTTTTCCAAACCAGACACATTGATTTATAGAGGGGCTCTACTTGTTGATCTAAAGGCATTATCTAGAGTTAAATCATTTTGTTTTAATTCACTCATCCTTGCTCTTATTGCATGTTAACAATTTTTGGGCACATGATTAGAAATCTTCGTGTACATGTTGGCCCTTCTTATTCTATTTGACCAACGTATCAAACGAATTGTTCTGCTTGCTTACTATGCATTTTGTTGTGAGAAGTTTGAATAGAGATGCTGCACCAGCTATTTCAAACGGGACAACTGTTGTAACAGATGCAATTTCAAGATTAGATATCAACCCAGTTACTGAGATGGAAAAAGAACCACCTGTTGATAGAGCTTCTGTCCAAAGCACTCTAGAATGCAAGTGTGGGATGCCTTTATGTATTTGTGAAGCACCTGCTGCTCCAAAAGAAGATGTTACTTCACAGGCAAAATCCTCTTTTCCCCCTTGTTTTAGTTTGATCTGAAATGCAACTTTCAGGTAAAACTTATGGATATTAAAGTTTTCGTCTCTGCCCAGGAGGTCAAACGTGCTTCAACTAGTATGCTTCGTTCTAATCCAAAACCCAAAAAAGCAGAGACAGCATCAAGGGCTAGAGCCTCGACGTCAAATAGCAAGCATGGGTATGTTCCATTCATGTCTTGCATTCGCTATGTATGTCCTTGAGTTGCATGATCATATTGACTCTCTGCCAGTTTGTTAAACCGCATGTTTTGGTTGCAGAATGTGATGACATATCTTTCTTCAGTGTTATGTCGTATCTGTCCACCTCTGACTTAGGATGTAAAGTTGATTTGAATAGACTAATTTGACCAAGCCCTAGTGTGACATTTAATAAGCTGGGCTAGAATTCGAGTTCTCTTAACTGAGAGGATGTGGAAAAGGAAACATGAAGATTAATTCTTTGATGTTCTCTCTCACACTGAATCTATTATTGTGAAGAAGTTTCAGTTACCATTGATCTGTTATGTTAGAGACTATACTTGAAAGTTAGAAGATTGAGAGTAAATAAATTCCATGTCGAAGACGTAATTCCTTAATTTTGATCGTCAGTTTTTCCTTCTTGTATTCTTAGAAAACCATATTTATTTGTTTTCTCAAAGGTTTGTTCTTTCCCTCGGTACTCTAACCAATGGAGGCCAAAGTTTAGCTGTCACCTTTTCTGTTTCAGAAGTAGCTATAGTGAATTAAATGCTAGATGCTAATATCTCCATCTTCAGAAAGTACATTGTCTCTTAAAGTCTCTTAACATTACTGTATGCATAAACTTGCCAAACTTATATATCTTCTCATGACAGTTCTTGAGCTACTCATGAAATTGATTGTGGTCTCAAAACTCTGAGTCTGAAATTGGCAGTTGCTACATATTTAATGCCTTTAAACAGTAGAAATATGGGAAATAATCTTGATTTTACATTTTTCTGTTTACTTGAGATGTTTAATATCTTTAAATGTGGTCGAGTTTATTAAGAAATTGGGTTGGTATGAGCATAACTTCTCTCATCAGGTTTGGGTACTACTATTGATTTAAATGGTTAATTTGTTTATGTGCTTAAGGGCATCTACTCTTTTGTTATTACAAATGTGTTCTCCCTATTTCTCTCTCTCCCTCTTTCTCTCTCACACACACAGAGGCACTAAACACACAGACATTTATACATTTTATTTTTGTTTCTCCATTTGTTTTAAAAGGTTTATTGTGTGAATATACTGCTGAAAACTAGATAGCTTACGTATATCTTGGAATGTTTTCAGAACCATTTTCAATCCTGGTCAAGCTAGTAATGATATATTGCAAGTGGATTATGAAGCTAGTGGAGAGGTTGGTGCTCTGCTTTTGCGATTTTATAGGTGATGTTAATGTTATCTACAGTCTTCTGCAGTAGTTTCATCTAGTCTTTAAATTGTTGTATCTTGCAGGGTTTAAGGGAAGCAATAAAAAATGGTGACAGTGCTGCTGCCATGAAACTTTTGAACCAGGTATCTTTGGCTTGCCTCTGAATTATTATTGATAACCTTTTTTTTTTTTTGGTCAACAATCTACACCAACACCTACTCTTCCTACACTATGTGGAAAGGGACAAATCCAACTAGGTCACTGGGAACTGGAGGGGACTAAACACCTCTATAGACCATAGGGCATCCACTGGATTTGGAGAAGCCTTATAGAGTGGCAATTGATGGGAGGCAAGGTTCAAAACCTTGACCTCCCACCCCACAAAGACCTTAAGTGCCTTTGTGGTAGCCAACAGCCCAAGGGGCCGTTGGTTGCCCAGTTGAAGTACATTGATTCATTGTTGAAATAAAACTAAGCTATAATCAATTCTTTAGGGTGTGGATGCTAATTACTGTGATCGGCAAGGCTCATCTCTGTTACATCTGGTACTCTCTCTCTCTCTCTCTCTCTCTCTCTCTCTCATGCACACACACACACACACACACACACACAAACAAAAGGAAAGAAAAGAAAAACAGATAGAAAACATAACTGAAACAGATAGAAATATACACCACTTGCTGGTGTCAGATTGCTTATAGAAGGTTATGTGCTTCATTAACTGGACTTATTTGGTGTAGGCTGCGGTTTTTAACCGAACTGAAATAACTTTTGCCCTCATGGACCATGGAGCGAATGTTTATTTCAAGAATTCACAAGGTAAGTTGATTTTCAAACCAAATAAATTTGTGGACTGGCATTGATTTGCATGACAAACTGGCTACTGGTGATTTTGCTTAGCGATAGGGGAACATGTTAATCTGGCAACCGTTGATTTAGTTGGTTTTTCATAGCTTTTACTTTACTGGAAAGAGATTTTATCCAGCCCTAGCTAGTGCAGTACTGTCGGCTAAAGTGAATGGCAAATATCTGTATGGTGACCTTCAATGATTTTCCGAATTGTTCAGGTGAAACACCATTGGATTGTGCACCTGCCACGTTGCAGTACAAGATGAAAATGAAGATAGAAGAGAGTCAGTGATTGGGCTCAAGACATGTCAACTAATAGTGACATTTTGATGCCTAATTATAAGCCATAAAATCTACTCTGTTTTCTTGAAGTATTGATGATTTGTTCTGTTTTTCAACATGGTTTTGGCATTTTGTAAGAGTACGCGTTTCGGTACTCAAATCTTTCTAATGCAGCACATAATCAATTTCTTCACCCCAAGTGAAGTTGTAAATTTTGAAATCCCATCCATGCAAATAACTTTTCAAGTGAAAGTTGTAAATTTTCAATGCCATCCAAAATCGTTCTCTTTGTTTGTTTCTTCTTTTTCCTCCTTTCATTTTTTTATTTGTGTTTTTTTTGAGGGCCTTTTAGGGCCCCTTTCCCGTTGAAAGACTCATGTTGGTGATGAAAATAAAGACCGTTGTTACCAATTTGTTGTTTCCCCCGAAAGTTTATGCTTAAACATGTTGTGGATACTTGGCTTCTAATCATCAGTGGGACTCGTGGAATGCTGTAGCTGTAAACATTTAAATCTGTCCTATGGTTTCTGCAGCACTATTTGTGGTCCTGCCTTCCCACCACTGTTATTCTCTGGAGGGAAGGGCGGGGTAAAAGGCAGTGCTTCAGGAAGCTCAAGGAAATTGGGTTCTTAACCTTTACCAATTATGAGGAGAACTTGCTGGCTTGGCTTGGATCAGTTGGATGTTAATTATCATCATACAGATTTGTTTGCGATGCATCCTATTGACACATATTTGATTTTAGACAATTTAGCCTCAACCTGTAGCCTCAACAGATTGGTTGATGAGGAAGTTGGGAATTGACAGTAGTCTTGGTGACCAGATTTCGTTTGTCATGAGAAAGATCTTATATATAAGCAAAAAAGGGTCCCTTACCTCTTGCCCTCGTAAGCCTTCCCTACCAACCTGAACACAAAGCTGGATGAGCAGAATATCAAATGGTGCTGCCGAAGCTAGTTAATGAGGCAGTAACCCAATCCAGAATAAAAGATGCAGATGGGAGGCAATAAACCATTAGCCTGACCTCAGTAAAGTCGATACTTTTTGGGTGTTGGAATTTCAGATAGGATAAGCACACCTATCCTTCTTTCTTTGCTGCCATCAGCAAAATTAGCTTTAGAAAAGTAAACTCTGCCGTCATCTCCGATGTGTAAAATTGATTCTCCAGCTGGATGTGGACTGTGGAGAAAGAAAAACACATAAAGATACCCCAAGATCAAACCACCTACCGTCCAGTCCACCATCCACCCTCCACTTTCCTTAACGTCATCCACCGGCCTACCCCCACAAATCCTTCTATAAATTCAGCCTCGAGCTTCTCTAAAGAGCCCCCCTTCCTCTCTCTCTCTCTCTCTTCAAATTCTCCTTTCTTAATCTCTTAGCAGTTGTCTTCTCACAAGATTTTGCCCTCTAGTTGCTAGAATTTGTCAATTTGTCACGTCTGGGAAAATGGGATTCTGCGATTGTGGGATGGTTGGTGATGATCACTTTGTGCTATGCAAAGCAGCTCTAATCTTTGGAGTGACGAGATGGATCTTCTTCTGTGCTCAGAAACTAGTGAAACAATATTACATGCACATGTTTTCTTGGTCCTTTGACCACCATGAGCCCACATCACAATCTTCATCAGCAGTTCATCATGATCACTCTTCTTCAGCTTTAGAAATGGTGAGAGATTATTTGAGCTTGACAACTTTTGAAAACATCAAGCAGAGGCTGCCAGAAGAAGAAAGCCATGACATGTCCTGTGCAGTTTGCTTGAAGCGTTTCAAGAAGAATGATCAGGTCTGGGAATTGAACAATTGCAGGCATGTCTTCCACAAGCAATGCCTGGATAGATGGCTCCTCTACGACGCCCGGTTAACCTGTCCTCTTTGCAGAACTTCATTGATCACCATGAGTAGTTCAGAGTCTTGTTCCATGCCGCAGCAGCAGCAGCAACCTAGTTGGGCTGTGGAAAGGATTCTTTATCTATTTGGGGATGATTTGCTCTCTCCATCTTCTTACTCATCTGGAATGGAGGATCTGAGCTATTAATTGATGTCTGCCCTCAGTATTGTTAATTGTTAGGATGCAGCATTCTTAGCAAAATTTGTTCCCACATTTCTAAAGTTTCAAAGCTAAGGGGCAAGGCTGTTAATTCTTGGCTTTTGCCCAATTTTTTTTGGTTGTTGTAAATACTATATCAGGACAGTTGAAGACATTTGAGTTCTAGCAGTTAACCAGAAAATTTCCCCTTTTTTCTTCTCGTGTTATTTTTGTTGTTTTGTAAACCTATTAGTAGGTCGTTGGAATATCAAACTAGGTATTGGACGAAACATTAATTTATTATGTGCACCACAAGCAACTGCAGAACTACCAATTAGGGTTGCATTTTTAATACAAAGAATCTAACAGCTGAATGCCTGTAATTCGCTGACTTCTTGTATGGCCCCTGGTTTCTCTGCAATTGTAGTATATGCATTAAAAGTTATGTGAAAAAAGAAAAAAGTTGATGCCCGATCCACCTAAGGCATTCTAAATTGGAATGGACAGCCTTGATGTCGCTGGATTCAGCAACAAAAAATGGTATTGTCTATATCTTCATGGCATCCAACTTATCTTTTGTTGAATTAATCTTACATATACTGACAATATACATACTATCATATTTGACTACACGACACATTTACAAAATTTGGATTTCAAATTCAAATTTATATTATATGTCATATATCTAACGGTGAAAGTGTATGCACTGTCAATATATATAGAACATTAATCCATCTTTGTAATTTTAGCTCAGCATGCATGAATACAAGTTTAACTGGGACAATGTGTGTACAAGATAACTAGTTGGAATGTATAAATACAATCTTATTATGTAGACTTAAATGCTCATTGTAATGCTTCAGTTTTTGTGTCTTGAGAATACAATCATAAAATGCCTTCTAAATCCAAAATCTTTCTTAGTCTTTCCTTCAACTCCCAAAACGAGAGAGAAAGTAATAGTCATTTTGCTTTTTCTTTCTCTTTCTCTTTCTTTTTTTAAATCCTCTTCTCTCATGATTTAGAGACTTCCCTTCTCTTCGTTTTTCCCCCAACTCCCAAGATAAGCCCTGAGGTCCTCAGCCAATACTGCTTGTATCTGATGGCTTCGATGTGTCATGACTGCAGATAATGTTGCATGAACACCTAGGAATCACTCCACTTGATAATTGAAGTAATTGGGACAATTTTGATGCCTCCCTCTTGCTCGTGTCACAGTGAAAAGCAAAAAAAGCATCTCAGTTTCCACCTGCACTCGTTAAGCCTTCAGCAGAAGGCACTTTGGAGTAGATAAGCCTGATACAAATTCTGCTCCTAATGGGCAGATGATATCATCCCAGTAAAGAAAATGCATGCATTAGTAAGCAAAATCCATCATCATCTTCTCTTCTTGGGACGGGTTAAATTCACATCCTTCTTCTGTACTAAATTCACACCCCATGCAAATTAGTCTTCAAGTTTATGTGACACGTCTTATTCTTTTAAGAAACATATATGTTAACGGAAAAAATAAATGTTTACGTTGTAAAAGAGATTATTTTCGAACATGTCGTTAAGAAAATTAAATTTTAAGTTCAAATTTAATTTAGCAATCCGAATTTTTCCATGACGGATATGCACGTAAAAGTATCTATATATTTCAATTCTATAAAATAAAAATTTAGGTCATTCTCAATGGGGAATATGCAATCATATTGATTTCTTCATACTAATATCTTTCATTTGACTAGCTGTATGTTAGTGTTAAAAAAAAGGTTTCACAAAATAAAGGCGTGCAGGTCATATAAGGAAAGAGAAAAAAAAAAAAGTAAAGCGACTTAGTGGAACACAAATTTTAGAACGAAATAAAGAATTAAAGGAATTTCTATACAGAACTAAACATAAAGATTAGGGTATGGATTTTTGTTCTTCAGAAAAGATATTGCTATGCCCTATTTTCATTATGTAAAAAAATAACTTAAATACTGTAAAAAGTTATGATTTACTAATAGTTAAGGGAATCGGTGCCTAACAAATGTACAGAATGTGAATTTAGCCCCTCCCTCTTTTTGTTTTGATATCATCATCTATACTCAAATCCTTCTTAAAGTTGCTTGTTGTTGGAGGTAGGAGTATCAAATAAGACAAGTACACCCATCTAATCTATCCTTGCTACCATCAGAAAAATTAGCTTTAGAAAAAGTTGTCTCTGCAGTCACTAATATCTGATGTGTAAAGACGATTATCCAACTGATAGTGAGACAGCAAAACAGAAAAAGACAACCTAATACCACCCACTTTCCACTCACATGTTTGCCAAACATCATCCAAATCTCCAGTCGTCCACCCCAAATCTTCAATAAGTACAGCCTCGAGGCCTCTGTAACCTTCCCCCCTCCTTCCTTCTCCACATTATCTCCTTCTTGACGAGATTTGGCCCTTTAATTAGTTGCCACAATCTTCAAATATATTAGGTTTGCTAATTAAAATATGGTTGCTTGTGATCATTTTGTACTATGCAAAGCAGCTCTAATATTTGGAGTGACAAGATGGATACTTTCTTGGGCACGAGAATTGGTCAGGAGCTACTTGTACATCTTCTCTTGGTCACTAGAATATGATGAGCCCACATTACAATCTTCATCACCAATTCATCCCTCTTCTTCAGGTTTGGAAATGGTGAGGAATTATCTCAGTTTGACCACATTTGAAACTGTTGCAGCCAGGCTGCCGCAAGAAGAAAGCCATAACATGTCATGTGCTGTTTGCTTAAAGCAATTAAGGAAGAAAAATCAGGTCTGGGAGCTTAGCAATTGCAGGCATATTTTCCACAAGGAATGCTTGGATAGATGGCTTGTTTATGATGCTCGTTTGACATGCCCTCTTTGTAGAACTTCTTTGATCTCCATTAGTACGTCAGAGTTGCATTCTTCCATGCAACAGCACCAGCAGCAGCCTAGTTGGGCTGTGGAGAGGATTCTTTATCTGTTCGGGGATGATATGCTGTGTTCATCTTCTTACTCCCCATGAATTGAGGATCACAGGCATTAATTCATGGCTGCCAATTTATTCTTAGTTGTTAGGTTGAGGAATTCTTGGAAATATGGAACCAAACTTAATTTCAAATTTCCAAGGCTAAAGCTATTAAGAATTTGCCTAGTGCCCAATTTTTTATCCATGGACTGTAACAACCCTAATCTATAATTAATTTTTTTTTTTTACGATCCTACTTCTCCCCGACACAACATCCTTTCCATCACACAATTATTTTCTAGTTTTTAGTCATTCCACCGCTCCTCACATCCTTATCACCCTCAACTGTCATGCCAACCAGACACACAGGATTCAGGATTCGAACCTTCCCACCCCTAATTTGCCCCAACCGTCAATAATAACTATACGAACTCTTCTTTGTTCTTTTTTATCTAAATCAGGGCACGTGATTTGTGTATACTTTTCTGATGATACACACATCAAATGCTACGTACTAGGCCAAATTGGTCTTGAATTTTATGACTCACAACTGACACTTTCCTTTAACACTTTTCCCTTTTTCTTTTGGTAGATCTTTTATTGGCATCGAATCTTCACTTTAGAATCCTAAGCCAGTGGAAGTCTTGAATCTCTTTGTATCGACGTTGCTTTCTGCCTACTTTTCTTCTATCATTCTTCAATTTGATAGGGGAATTGCAGCAATCTAAAACCTTATCTAAAAAGTGCTCGCAAGAGCATCCCTCTGCTTTTACGTGACACCACACCAGCCATTAGGGTGTCTAGTTGGATTGCGTCAAAATTGAGATTTTTCTGGTATAAAGCAACCATGGGCCAAAATTTTAAATAATTTTTTAGCATCCCTATTACTTTTTCCTTTTTCATTATTTAGCTCTATAAAAAACTCTTAAAGCCTATGGAATATAAAACAATTGGACTCGGCGTTGGTGGGGTGCGCCAGGCCCATGCAGCAGTGTAACGCATGGACGACGCTCGAAGGCCCCAATAGCAAGCTACCGTGGTGGGCCTTCCCCCTAAAAAAAATGAGTTAATATCGTGTGGGCCGATGGCCCACGTATCAGATATTAAACTGATAAGAACAGATACTACACTTGATCTTAGCCAAAAGGCCGAGAAAGGTATGCTTTAAAACAGCCCATCTACCTTGCTTTTATAGTCGCTGCAGTTTCCTGCCGTCTCCTGCTTAGTCGATGTGGGACTATTTCTTATAGTTTTGGCCAGTACAATCAAGTTCTAAACTTAAAAAAGATAGATTGCTGCGGGTCTGTTTGGCCAGCAGCCAATCTATTCCTACATGGCTCTAAATCTTTGACGAACAAATGGCACAAAAAGCTCATGTGATATAACCAATTCTTTGAATCCTTTTCGAGTTACATAACTGGATAAAAGTCAGTAAGTAATACTTCTATTGCACTCTCAATTCAATTGGAAGCTAGTTGAAATGTCATCAATTAAAATTTACAGAATAATAACATTGCATTAGAAATTAGAATAGAAAAGACGCTGCTAATTTTGGGTTTTGACTGATTTTTTGGTTTCTTCCACTTGTATGCAGCTTCAATAATTTTGAGATTCTTACACTGTGTTTCTTCAGGGAACAGATAGATGGTCAATGTATTCCTCATACATTGCTGGACCATCGGACCATCCTCGGTCTCGATGTGCCTCCTCTTCTTGAGTTTTTTTGGGGCTCTTGAACATAAACCAAATCAACATTGCCAAGCAAGCTCCCCGCAACTGCTCTCCAAATTTAACCACTCTTCAAGCAGCATTGCCCTTTCTTCTTTCAGCTCAGGTGCAAAAGTTTTGAAATAATGCAGATCTCTTTCCAGAAACCCTCTAGCTAGCTCAATGCATCTTTCCTTCTGTTGAAGATCGTCATCTTCAGATGCCTCGAGTCCATCACAGCTCAACCAGACCTTAGGATGTTTTGTACGATCTAGCAGCCTCTCCTAGAGGGCTCTAGCTCTTTCAATTTCACCCTCTCAGGTATCTCAAAGTCAATGTATTCCTTCCATAGTAACTCTGGAATGTCTAATGCAGGTCGCTGGATTGCAAGCTCAAAGATGGATCTTGCTCGCTCTGTTTCACCAAAAATCTTTCCAATTTGGCATAGCTGTTCTACGCATATCAATTCTCAGGTGACCACTCCAGACACTTATCATATATATAGCTTTCTACAACGGTCTGTGTTGCCGAGTTGCAGTTCTGTTTCAATTTACTTCGTAGAAAGCTTCTGCTTAAGAGACTTCCCAATTGCTGCTCCTAGGATTGATGCAGCCATTTGTAGATTTAACTGTCGAATTTCAAACTGTACAGCCATCAACCAAGTCTTTGCAAAAGAAAATTTCCCCCGAGGAGTTAACTTGAGGCAAGACTTTTCAACTTCTCTTGCACCTTCAACAACATCCTGATCATCAAGTTCCTCGTACAAACATGGTTCGAAGACTCAGCCGAGTCATCTCCGTCTCGGCCATGGTTTGCTGTCGCGGATCTCGGTCGCGTCGTGGTCTCGGTTGTTCCACATCCGTCGCAGCATATCGGGTGATACATACATTATAGTATATAAAAATTTTCAAAAAATCTGAAAAAATTACTAAAAATAGAAAATACCATAATGACAGGTTGTCAGCCTGTGCAATAATAAAACCTGCTCAAACTAAAAGTAATTTCTGTAGATAGCAGTAAGCAGGGTCGAATCCACAGGGATTGGGAGTAATTGTTCCTTTCCAAATTCACAGTGACAAAGGGGGTGTTTTTATCTCAGAGGTGACAATTTAAACAATTCAACTAAAAATAATAATAATAAAAATAAAATAGCCAACTAGAAATTAAATAACAATTTACTAAAATCTAATGAGTGATAATTAAGGATCTAGCCAAGGAATAACTTCAGCAATGGTTCACCTAATTGATCATCGATAAGCAAAGGCAATTCCAATTATTTACTAATAAATAGGTTATAACTGCCAAACAAGCGATGGCAGTTAACCCCTCCTTACTGTGTCGATGATTAAGGTACGCCCGTTAATCACTGCTCTAATTGGGAAATAATCCTAGGTGCGCCCATAGAATTTAATTCCCCAATTGCCTTACGTATTAGAGGAGTCCTATTCTAATCAAATAACGCACTACCAGGGTTATTTTAGATTAGCCCGCGTATTCCCCTGACACAAACCCAATCATGTCAGTTATCACTATTTTGAGACAATTAAACAATTACGGATTTAACGTCCCAATTGACAAAAGATTATCAAATTAACTAATTATCCGGATCCAAAACAATCAATTAATTAAACAATCATAAGCACTGCAACCAAGAAATATGCGAATACCAATAAATAGAGGAAAAGATAAAATTAAATCGATCTCACAATTTTAGGCGAGCCAAAACATCCATTGCTCCTTGACTAGAAAAGAAAAATTAGTTCATTCCTGGTGAACAAATCCCACGCAAAGTTGGAGAGGAAGCCGCAGCCATTGTCCTTGACCAAGGGAGCTCAGTTCGCTCAGTTGATGGAAGAATACAGAAAGTGACCAAGACCTTCAATTGCTCCTGACATGCGCAGGAGACATCCACCCAAGACTCAAGGGAAAAGTCAAAAGGAAAACTATGCTAAAGGTCCTACGTACGAGGAAGGTAAAACAACTACCAAGAACTAAAAGGGAAGAAAAGTCAACAAAGGCAACTCCCTGGTGCTAGTGCTCATTCTCTGCCATATATCAATTGCTCCTATTCTAATGGCTACTGTATGCGGCAGCCCCCTTGCGGAGAGGACGGAGCCTCCGAAGGAAGAAGAAGCACCCACTGTGCGGCGCTCCAGCCTCCAGTAAAATAGAGGCCTCTGCCCTGCTCTCTTCTTTTGAAATTACCAAAATGGGCAAAAGTCTTCCTTTGCCAATAATGCCCCCGGGATAAGCTCTGTGCCTTGGACTCTTTTTCTGTCAAATTAGCACCTGTTATTATATTTTCGTTCTACTCCCTGAAATAAATGCAAAATACTAAAAGTGAGTAGAATCCAGCAATTAATTCACATCGGGTCCGGTAATATGGAAAATTAATAATAAAATAAATGATAAAATTATAACCTATCAATTCCCCCCACACCTAAACCATGCTTGTCCTCAAGCATAAGAATAGTAAACAAATACCAAAATTTGATAGTGGCTATTGCTCTATCCAACAAATTGCCAAGATACCAAGAAAAACAATAGTCAAGCATTAATGGTCAAGTCCAAGAAACATCACTTCGGTTAGCCTCTAAACCGCAAACTCCTCTAATTTCAGGTTAACTAATCTAAGAAAAAGGAATGACGCACAGCATTTATCAGCAAATGGTCCAAATATTCACATAAGTCTCCATATTAAGTCCATAAACTGGCAAGCTGACTTTTATTATACACTAACACAACATTCACTTTTTTTCACATTTTTCTAACTTTCACTTTTTTCTTTCTTCTTCTTTTTTTTTCTTTTCTCAATAGTAACAAAAGACTTAGTCGCTAGCCATTAGAGCCTTTTGACGCGAACTCCAACATTGGCCAGATGAAGGAGCCCGGTTACTCAGCTTCTATCGCCATGTGACCACGTACTCATAGCAATTACTACTTTTTGACGCGAGAATCGACACTTTTGGTGAAGATCTCCGGTTACTCGGTAGCAAATACTAGCGGAGTACAGTCAACTCTTATTCACAGCCAAATAAAACCAAAAATTCAAAATAACACAAAAATCAAAAGAAACTTTGCAGCTGCTAGTCTCATTTTTAAATATGGAGAACTAAAGTTAATAACCGGACCAATTCACATGAAAATGCCAATAATCATTCCCTATGCCTAGGAAAGTTAACCAAAAATTATAAGAGTGAAACAATCATCGTTATTCACCAAAGAGATGTTTTTGGATTCAACCACATTAACTTGATACCCTTTTATTATTAAAACTTGGCAAAAGTAGAAATGGAGGCAATGATCCAACATCAAACCTTGGCATGCACTTACGAGCCAATCACTAAAAAGAAAAAAAAAATGAATGAAAGACACTAGCACCATAACTGCTCCCCCCCACACCTAAATCCTACATTGTCCTCAATGGAGGAATTAAAGCAATTAAAGTGAAGAGGACAACGAAACTTCCCTCTTTGAGTGGCCAAGAGGTAGGCGGGGACGGTGGGGGAAACCAATGTGGTGGAAGTACGCGCCCAAGTTCTGAGACATCATACTCAATTCAACCAGCAAATGCAAAACTCTGTCCACCGAAAATCTCAACAAATAGCTCCAATTGGCCAGTTAATGCCTTAACTCAGAATCAGAAATTTCAACATTGAGAGTTTAGGTATTTGACAATAACAATTCAGTCACAAGTTCTTGGCTGTCAATTAGACAGCCAATCAGATGGAATTACCAAATCTAGTCAAAATACCCCAACCAGTACCATTGGTGCACCCCACAGATAATGAAGCAACTTAAACGGCAAACCCAATCAACAAAATGTACATGTGAGGCACCCAAGGTCTATACAAATGTCCCAACAAAGTAGCGATTGCAATCAATAATTAGTAGTGGTCCTAATTTACTCAAATGTAGAATTAATGCAGCCCAACAATTCAACTGGATGTACCCACCTTGACAAGCAAAGCAAGTGGCACAGGTTTCCCAAGTCAACAGGCAATTCAGAGATAACTTAACCGAAATCACAGTAGAAACTTCAATTAAATACACTCAACATGAATAAGCCAAGCAAGTGTCACAGAAACTCCCCCATTCAACAAGCAATCACAGTATTTCAGCTCACCCAAAAACTCAACAATTCCACCCAAAAGTTGAACAAATGCCCCCAGTAATGGGCTAAATCTAGCAATGTCAGTTCAAAGATCTAGTAATAGCAACGCAGTCACAAGCTCTTGCAGTCAATCAGATGTCCACGCAGTCAATCAGATGTCCAACCAAATGGCGTTAGTAAATTCAAGGAAGAATACTCCAAAGCTAGCAAATCAACTGAATACGACCAACAACAACACTTAAACCGAGCAGCACAGGCTTCCCAAGTCGACGATCAGTTTTAGAATTAACTCAACCAAATCGCAATAGAAGTGTCAATGAAATGAGCATTTGAAAACAATGGTCAGAGTATACTCAGGAATTCAATTAGAGTCATCTACTTGAACTAGCCACACCAGCGTCATAGAGACTTTCCAATTAAACAAACGAAAGTAGAAATTACCCCCAAATTGCCAATAGACCTTCCAAGCATACGATACCGAAATTAATCCCCACAACCAACCTCAAGTTACTCGATAATAAACCAGCAGAGTGGGTCACGTAAAGGTATAACTACACCTGGACGCAGAATCACAACAAAGGGTCAAAGGGGACGGCGGTGCTTGCAGCCTGGTGGCGGACAGGGACTTGCGGGCAGCAATGATGGTGGTAATGGGCCGCGGCGTGTGGCAGCTGTGTGCGCAGGTGGAAGGTGATGGAAGAAGGTGGCGGCGGTGCGAGGGGAAACCAGACAGCGGCGGCGTGGGGAGCTGTCTGTCGCGTGCGATTGAGAGGCTGGGTTGCGCGCGAACTAGTGGCGCGCGGCTGTGGCGGTTGAAATAGATCAGGCGGTGATGGTCGGCGAGCTCGATACGGGCGGCGTCCATGTGTGGCGGTAAGTGGATATGGCTGTGGCGGGCGCAGAGAGCAGGGGAGCAGCGGTCGCGCGAGGAAGAGCTGGAATGGGAGGCGGCGTGCGCAAAGGAAAGCAGAGGAGAAGAAAGAAAGAAAAGAGAAAGAAAGAAGAAGAAAGAAAGAAAGAAAAGAAAAGAAGGAAAAGAAAAAAGAGAAATTGCTTTTTTTTTTCAAAAATGTTTCTTTTCTTTTCTTCCAATTATGAGGCTCTTTGAGCCACGGAAATAATTTTCCTTTCTTTTTTTCTTTTTTTTTCGAAAAATTGATTTCGACTTTTTAAATAAAATTTTTTTCTCTTTTTTTTCGAATTTTGGAAACTAAAGCTACGGTGATAAGAAATTTTAAATTTTTTTATTTTTTTTATTTTTTTATTTTTTTTTGAATCCTTACCTTTCCCGCGAACGTGACGCGGGCACGTCAAGAGAGCAAGAGAGCTCCCAGAAGTTTATGATCGTGAGCTTCCTGCACGTCATCACGCGGGCGCGTCATGACTGAAGGTCACCTACAAATCAGCAAAAACGAAAATTAATACCCAAAATCAGTCAAATTCAAGGAAAACAGATTTAAACTATGACACGAAACCAAAACAAACAATTAAAAGAAATAATTGGGTTGCCTCCCAATGAGCGTTTTTCTTTAATGTCTTTGGCTAGACATTATCATGTTTTGTTCATGGAGGATAAAATCTTGTGGCTCGTCTCATTGCTTCATCCTCTACATAGTCCTGATAGCCCTCGTAGATAGAATAATCTTTGGGCATACG